TCTCACAACAAGTTTTCCAGTGAGAAGTGTCTCTGGCACTTAATTTGTCATTTAATGATTTTTCTCAACAATATTTGATGATGGAGTTGAATCAGTTGCCACATTTGATGATTCATTGAGAAAGATGAATCGTTGTATGCAGTGGCGGAGCCGCCTTACAATTAGGGGGTTCATCTGAACCCCTTCGACGGAAAATTATATGATTTATACATGGTTAAAATAAATTTTAGGTATATATAGTAGATGTCAAACTCCCTTCGACTACTTAGTATGTCTATTTTTTCAGATTTTGAACCCCCTTATTGAAAATCTTGGTTCCGTCATTGGTTGTATGTTACAATGTATATGAAAGATACATAGTTATTCATCAGATATATATGGTTATACATTATTTATACAATATAGATACATTGCATATACATAAAACCATTTATATATATATTGGCCGACGGTATATTTACGTAAGAAGCCCTAAAATATATTAGAAACGTATTTAAGTTAGGCTCACTTCAGACAATGGACAGTAGTCACTGGGCCCAACAAAATGTTGAATCTGTAAATGATGAGGCCCACAATGAGATAAGGTACAAGAACTATGGGCCCAAACTTCTTGGGCTGTCCATGTACCAAAAAGCCGATAAAATCGGAAAAAATAGGAAAATAGCCACTTTTCATGTACTATTGATCATGATTTAGCCACTGTTTAAAAAGTAACCAAAAGTAGCTATTTTATGTTAATTGGACACAAGTACTCCTAAACTAAACACAAAATTCTAGGCTTCTTCTTGATTGCATCTTCCATAACTCAAACACAAAAGGACATGAACCTTTACTTTGAACCATTTACTAAACGAGAAAAGGATCAAATATGCCCTTAAACTAGGTAAAATTAAGTAGATATGTCTGTTATTAAATTGAAAAATTGATATATATATATATATATATATATATGTGTGTGTGTGTGTGTGTGTGATTCTTGTAGATTTATTTGTCCTATAGGGGGAGGAGACCAAACTATTAAATTGGTTGATTAGCTTGGTGTGTGCATCGCCAATATTTAAAGGTAAGTTCAACAAAATGGTTATTAGACCAACTACGTATGAAACTGAGTGGGTTAGTTAAGAACTCTAACATTCAAAAGATGAAAATGGTAAAACGAGGACATGCTTAGATGGATGTGTGATCATATTAGGAGAGTTAAGATTAGGGACGAAGATACACAGGGTAAGATGGAGAAAGCGAGATTGAGATGGTTTAGACGTGTGAGGAGGAACACAAATGCCCTATTGAGGAAGTGTGACTTATGAGAAGTTGGTTGTGATAGGCTTAAGGTGAGGTAGATGTAGATCGAACAAGAATTGAGGAGAGATGATTAGATAAGACACAACACATTTCAGCTCATAATCAAGGGGTATGACTAGATAGGAGAGCAAGAAGGTCGAGGATTAGTGTAGAAGATCAAGATAATAGTTAAGTGATTTCTCTTTTTCCTATGGCAGAGCATGATTCTAGCTTGGAGTATCTTATTTTCACTATCTCCTTTTCAGTATAATCATTATTGTTATTCGATTATCTTATTCTTTGATTATATCACTAATGTTATGTGTGTGCTTTGGTTATCTTACTAGTTTTTACCGTTAATATTTCTCTTTTCTTAGTATTTTTATTACCGCTTCTTGCACTTTATATTTTTAAAACCTATTTAAAAATGTTTTTTTTTTTCTTGAGCGAAAATCTATTGAAAACAACATCTTCAGCATACAAAATAAGGATAAAATCTGTATATAACTTACTCTCTCCAAATCCCATTTATAAAACCTAATATATTGCTATTGTTGTGTAGTAGTGAGTGCAATACAACTGGTAGTCAACAAATCTAGTGAAACAGTATATTTTAACTCCCATTAAATATAATAGCTAAACTCTTCTAGCTTCCAAAAGGACACTTGCTTTTTTCTAGATGCTTATAATACCCCCTTTTTTCACAAAAATTAAAAACTAAAAAAACCAAAAAAAAACTTCCAAAATTTCCAACTTTTCTATGATGAAAGACACGTGAATAACATGAATATTTTCTTGAATAAATTTGTCTTCTTATTCAAAGAACCCATTATCACATGGACCAAGCTAGTTGTGAAAATTAGACCCCACTCAACTGAGATGAAAAATACATAACTTTTAAAGAATCAATAATAGAGCTCATATATGGCCCCCCCTTAAACAATTTAATGTCATCTACCCTTATTTCTATAGTATAATAATTTTGTACATGTAGACAAAGTTTTTGAACTAATTGTAGACCCCTAAGACCCTAGTATGTCTCTATAATATGTTTATCTTATCCACCAAATATTCCTCTTTGTATCCCTTAACTAATCATAAAAGTATACGGTGTATATTAATTTTCTCTGTGTCGTATTAATTTTATCGAATGTTTTCTAAGGGACATGGCCTTTCTTAAATATATAGTTAAAGGTATGATAATATCGCCTAGCATCATTGGTGCTATCGAGTTTATTATATATGATCATACATTTAATTAGATTTACCTTTTTATATTACAATTATCAAAAGGATTTGAGTATTCAACCTAAAACTTTAATACAACAAATAAAGTAGCTTATAAAATTCGGATTCATGCCGAAAAGTCTCACATTTGAGGTAAAACGTTCTCGTTATGACATTTATTTCTAAATTAAGAGACTAGAAACTAAGTCTGGTGGCTGATCAATCGTGGCCGTTAGACCAGAGAGTGATTAACAGTAGCCTCCACGGCCTTCGGGTTGTGGTGCCGTTGATGATCGTTTTTAGCTCATATCATGGTGTTGAGATGGTCTAATGGTTGTCTAACAAATTCTTCAAAGTTTTGCCCCTTCGGGGACATTTAATAAAATCGAAATGATACAAAGATGATTAGAATGACCCCTGCTCAAGAATAACATGTACAAATCGAGAAATGATCCAAAAATTAATAAATTGTTATGTCTGCTTTTGGACGGCTTAATTATTCCTTTTAGCATTATATATATATATATATATATATATACTAGACACATGCGCACGGGCCCAATATGTATCTTTTTTGTTTTAATTTATGTGACATAAATAAAATTCGGAGAGTTTATAAAAAAATTATTTTGAGATATTTTAAGTTATTAATTATTATAATTTATAATATTTTTTACGTAATTTCTCTCATACGTCTTCTAAACTTGTAAGTTGTTAATTATTATGATTTAAGTGCTTTTTATGTCATTTTCAATAATATATATTACCTATTTTGTTTCAATTTATGTAGTCGCTGATGAAATTTTGAGGGTCAATCAAATTTTCTATATGACTTTTAAATATTTAAGTTGTTAATTATTGTGATACTTGTTACTACTATTTCAAATTATATTATTAATTATTGTGATTTATATTATTTTTTATGACATTTCAAATAATATATGTCATTTTCTTTATTCTAATTTATGTAGTACTAATAAAAAATGTACAATGCACTAAATTTTTTATGCCTTTTAAATATTTTAAGTTGCTAATTATTATTATAGTAATAATTTTTCATGTAATAATGCAATGGAAATCTAATTTGCCTTTTCCAAATAACCTTTCATAGAATACACGGCTGTCAATTAAAGGAAAAAAATTGAAGACAGGGAGAGCAAAAGCTACATGAGTTGTGATGGGCAATTTTGTCATTACACTCAAAAGTATACCATTAATGGACAACATTAGTTTCTGTTGACCAATAATATGATTCCATGTTATTGAAATTACCAAATTATCCTCTAAAGCTGCCAGGCAGGCATGCCTGGTTGAACAATACATAATTTTTAAAATATTATTTGGTTAAGTGGACCTACAATAACATGTAATCGGTTAAATTATACTAATAATTCATATTTAGTTATACTATCAACATATATAATTTAAATCTCTTCTAATATAGTATATACACTAATATACTATATATTGAATTGCTCAACATTTTTTATTGTACACGACTACAAGGTCTAGCCAATACTTAACTGCTTTTTCTTTTATATAGACTTGGAGTTAGGTGCGCAAGAAGTTCATTCGAATTTCCTTTGCTGCAAAACTTACATTGTATATATACAAAACAACATGTACATCCTATATAATATACAAGTAAATGATAAATGTATATATAGAATAGATGTTGAAGTTATTTCATATGTATATACGATACACGATGTTGAATCTCTTTAACCTCTTTCCATATTTACTTTTTAAAATTATAAATCTTATCAAATGAAAATCTTGATTCTGCTATTAGTAAGATGCTTAGGAATACTTTATGTACTATCACCATAAATTTCTTTGATTCACATTGCATGTACCTTGTGGATATTCTTCTTTTATGTCTTCTACTCATAATTTTTTTCTCTTATTTTCCACTTTGATCTAAAAGTGATTTGTACCAATTATACTTCTCATTTGTATATTAGTCACATGAACTAGATGCTCTAACTGTACCTAACACCTAATCTCACATGAAATCCCTTAAATATGTTGGAGGTTTTGTCTCTCAAATTGTACTACTTTTAGTTCCACATCACATGTCAAATTCCCTTTAAAGTTAAAAAGGTCATTTTCCCAAATGTCTTTCCCTCATGGACTTGCTTAGACGCAGTTTCAGAATTTGAAATTTATGAGTTTCTATAATAATCTTAAGTCAATATTACAAACAAAAATTATTGAATCTACGTGAATCAGTAACCATGCTTTCAGATTTTTTCTGACTTTGTCCTCATAGCTTACATACATGGACGTTTATACTCAATGTTTTCAACGTAGAAAATACATATATACATAAGAAATTATTAAAATTCGATAAATACAAAATTATGCACTCATAATTTCAAAATTACAACGAGTTCAATATTAAAAAATATTAAATATTGAACTCATCAAATTTAAATACTAAATTTGACTTGTATGTGTCCCCATCTTAACTGCTACTACATACCTTCTACTTAATTTATCTTCCCTACAAAAATGGGTTGTGGAGTCCAGTCTCCCTTCTCCTTCTCATCATCAATAACTTCATTTTTTTCATCCCAATGAACTATATTTATTGACTTTACCTTGTATTAATTAATTCATCTTTATATAGGAAAATATTATTTGGCGTTGTAGAAATGAGGAAGATAAATTTTGGTAAAGTTTTAGATTGCTTTAGTACTCTTTCTTCTTCTGGATCTTGTTTTTGCATCAATCAAGTTGGAGTTCATGATGATGATGATGATGGATTTGAAAAGAAGCCATTGATGAATAATAATTCATTAAATCAAGATGATGAACATGAGTTGATGAGATTGAAGGATGTTATTAATGTAGGACCTCCAACTCTAGCTTTCCAATTGAAGCCTAAGGTAATTACATATGTTTTTCAAGAATTTAATCTACTTAATTATGTCTTTAACACGTTGCATCGTGAGGAGTATAGGTAGAAGCTAGATGCGGATTCAGTTGAATCTAATAGCTATTGCTTAAACAGTGTATATATGTTAAGAAAATTCATTAAATAGGTGCAAATATTAAATTTACAACTCAGCACTTGAAATCGATGTTCTAAAATCCAATTCATGAAGTTGAAATTCTGGCTCCGACTCTGCCTTTCATGTGTTGAGTTTGATTCTTGTTTCTAGCCAAACACATGTAAATTCTTTTTTGATAATGGTATAACACTTTTACTTGCTTTGATGTCATGTTGGATTGAGCGATCGTCTATTTATTTAATTATATTGTCATGACAAGCTTTAACAATCTTCGATTGAGTTAGTTAATTAATTTGGGCAATATTTGTGTATAATGAATTTGACTGATTTTTTTAATAATGTGAAGGATAATTTTAAAGAAATGATAAAATGAATGTGAAGTCTTATTATTGAACTTAATTATTTGAACGGTGTAGATTGTGGTGCTAAGAGTTTCCATACATTGCAATGGTTGTGCAAGGAAAGTTGAAAAACACATCTCCAAAATGGAAGGTAAATATGTCAAGTTACTCAATTCCCTCCTATATAAAATATTATTCAATTTAGTTTGTTAATTTTAGGTTATGAAGTTATGTGTTGTTGTAGATCATCTTAATTAATTGGTCTTCAATCATCGGTAGATAAAAATTAAACTTTAATTTCTGAATATAATGCATAATATATTACCTGTAAGAATTCATCGTATACATGATCAGTTTATGTTGGATGTCAATCTATTACACTCATCTCCTTTATGCAAGATTGCCACCTGATATTGTGAACAACTCATACATACGATATAAGATAAACTTAAACGGAACACTATAATTAGTTAAAAAGAATATTTATCTATAAAACGAGTGATATTAAATGTTGTTACTAAATTCATATTATATTTTTGTTCAAGCAGGGGTGGATATGTACCAAGTAGATTTGGAGACCAAGAAGGTTGTTGTTATTGGAGACATAATACCTTTTCAAGTGTTGGAAAGTGTTTCAAAAGTAGTCAAAAATGTTGAACTTTCAAGTTGGAACACTCCTGAATGTTGAATTTTATATAAAAATTAAAGAAGGAAAAAAAAAATTAAAAAAAGAGCCAAAAATATTTATGATTGAATAAAAAAAAAGGCTATGCAAATATTGCAACTATATAATATTTACATGTACTATTCTGTATAACCAGCATTAAAATGAAAATGAAGCTTATGTACATTATGTAATTTTGTATCAGAAAAGAAAAATTGCATCAACGTTTCATAATATATTATATCCGATTGAAACGCAATTATTATTATGATTGTATCAGAAGATGATATTATAATTTTTTTTTTCAATTGATACATTCTTTACTCTTAAAAAAAATAGGAGTAAATCTGCGTCATTCAATTTTCTCTTAACCTCACTTATGAAACTATACTAAATATATTATTATTGTTTTTGTACATTCTTTACCCCTTCAATTCACTAACATAAATCCCATTTTATGTACCATTTTTGTCATCAAAGTTTTTCAAAGGTAAATTAATGATGATTCAAAACTCAATGAATAAAGATTTTGTCCTATCGTTCTACTCTTCTTTATTTAAATATCAATAAAATTGAAATTCGTGATATGCACTTGACTCGTATCATGTGTGAGTTGTGCTTTTATAATTTCACTGAATTAAAGGATATATTTTGATGAGCAATGTTAAAAAAAAAAAGATTATTACGTATTCTGTTCTTAAAATATATTTATATAATACCGCGTTTACATTTTACATGTCTTGTAACTCATTAATTTGAGTAAAACTATAGTTCTATAAAACAGATTTAAAATCTTGTAATTTTAATCATGTTATATATATTTTTTTTATGTATTAATTAGTTCTTTAATTATTATTGATGAACAATCAAATATGTACCTTCCTCTAAATTAAATATAATGGGAAAAAAAGAAAATAGAAGATCAACCTTGAGTTTATGGTAGAATAGTTAAGATTCTTCCACGAATTCATCCTTAATTAAAGATCTCAACATTCAGTATAAGAAAAATAAAAAAGTACCCTTGTTTAAAGTGTCACCGCAATGCACGTTCAGATTTAAATTCACTCTAATATAAATATCGAACATCGAACACAAAACGGAGAAGATTTCATCACACACAAACGACGTGTCACATTCTAAGCCACTTCACGTTTTACAAAGTACACACATTAACACTCTATCCAATTTCTTTAGTCTAAAACTCTTCAAATCGACTAATCTAATAATCCCCTTTTCGCCAAGCTCCAAAAAAATGGCAAAAACCCTAGTAATCTTCACCATTGTTCTTCTCCTGTTCGCCATTTCTGTATCTTCTTCAAACCCGGATCCGAATCTGAACCCGAATTCGGATCCGGCACCATCGGAGGCACACAAGGTGCTAATCAGATTCGGGTTTCCCATAGGGTTGCTTCCCAGGAACGTTAATGGGTATTCTCTGAACTCCAGTTCCGGCGAGTTCCTGGTTTCTCTGGGTGAAAAGTGTAAAATTACTCTTCCTCCAGACAATTACCTTGCGACTTATTCGAAGAAAATTAGGGGGAAAATTGTTGAGAATCGTATTGCGGAGCTTGATGGGATTAGTGTAAGGGCTTTTTTTAAGTGGTGGGGTATTACGGGTATCAGATCTAGTGGTGAGAATTTGGTTTTTGAAGTTGGAATGGTTACTGCTAAATACCCTTCTATGAATTTCAATGAAAGCCCTTATTGTGAAGGGAAAAAGCATTCCTCTTCCTGAGGTAATTTTTTAATCTGTTTTGTTTTATTTTAATAAAGTTGTTTCCTTTTTGTATATTGTATCTATGGTAAGGTCTGAGTATACTCTACCAATGGGATTACACTATGTATATTGTTGTTTGTTGGGGGATTAGGAGTGACGTTCTATTGTGTCAATATGATTGTCTATTAGATATTTGGTCAAATGTTGAAGGCTATAGTAATTATCATGTGCTTTCTGTTAAGTTGTTGATGCCTTTGTTTTTTTTAATATACTCTCAACTTTTTTTTTAAACTTTGTCATTGAAAAGATTGAGCCTTTACTACTTTAGTATGTTTGGTAACTTTTTCATTCAAAAGATTGAGACTTTAGTATGTTTGGTGACACTTCAATTTTAACTTTCTCATTTTGCTGTTTGTTTGAGAGTGACAGGATTGTTGAAGAGCATAAGATTTTAATGGTAAATCTGGTGTTGTGTGATATTTAGTTGGTGGTTTATAGTATTTCTCACTTTCTAAACTTCGTGTTCGGTCAAATAGTGTATTGTAAAATGGAAGAGAAGAAGTATTGGGTTTCAGTTGCGATGCTTTGGGTACTCTTCAACAGTGTAGTAGCAGTCTAGCATCGGCTTGAACATTATATTTACTTTAAATTGAACAAGTTGAGAGCATGTACAATGTATATTTAGAGCCTGTTTGGATGGACTTATTTTAAGTGTTTTTAAGCCAAAATAACTTTTAAGAGGGTGTTTGGATTAGCTTATAAGTGCTTTTGGCTTTTAAGCTCTTTTTCTATTTTTTGTGGTGTTTGGGAAATATGAAGTGTTTTTAAGCTAAAAAAGTACAAAAAATAAGCTAAAAGCTAAAAGCTGGGTATGAAAAACTTATGACTTTTAGCTTATAAGCTATTTTAAAAAGCAAATCCGAACACCCTCAAGTTGATGCCCACTGTTACAAGCACTATAGCCGTAGTGGGTCAGTGGTATAGTTTACTCCACTGACTTGGAATCTCGTATCTGTCTTTCCTCTTCCATGTAGGAGACACTACCATGTTTCTTAATGGAGTAGTGAATAATGATACCGCTGTTACCGTTCCCCATTTTTAGCTTTAATAGGGACGAGCTGATTTTTTCTTTTGGTTCTATCAGAACTCTTCATATTTATTGAAGAAAGGATCGAAAACAAACTATTTGATGATTGTGCTACATCTAAGGAAAAAAGTGAAAAAATTAGTGAGTTAAGCAGTAGCATCTAGCAGCAGTCTGGTAAATGCTTATTAGAAGTCCGTCTTCTGGAAATATTTTGTGGTGTTGAGTGGTCTTGTTGGTTGACCATTCTTCTAAGGATGGTGATTTTTAGTTGCTCATCATCACATTAATGTCCTCACTGTATTTCCCTATTCAAAGCAGTGACTTAAGTAAATTTTCTGCAACATTTTTTTTCTATTATATTCTTGGTCGACTGTACATCATGTACTAATATCGAAATGACTCATAACTCACTTATCATTGTATTCTTTGTATCCCAAAATAGTTTTACCTGAATCTGACACACCAATGATTGAAATGATATCTGGTAATGCTAGTCCATCAATGAGCTTCCTAACTAGTTCCACCTCCTCGTGAAAACCTAATATTATTTGACCAGTTATTGATGATGAGTGATGTTTGATTTGTTGGAAGAGTTATACAAGAATGAGACCCTATTCTCAAGATTTTCTCATGTAAATTGGACTTCTTTTGATAAGTTTGATCCTTTTTGTAGCATTGGAAAGTGAGTAAATAAAATGCAAGAGACCATTATCTTTAACAAGAATTGAACTAATGATATTTTTGCCTCATATGCCACATCTAAAGCATGTGTCCGAAGATCTCTATATAATTCTTGCTCAACGTTGTTGAACAAAGATCTTATGAATTCTAGGTCTTCTTTCACCAGGCCAATATCTTCTTTTATAAAAGCAATTGAATAAGCTTGAAATTTAGCAAAATATATTTTGATAGAGTACCTATTCGTTATTTTGATATTGTTTAATATATTGGCAAGTGTTGGAGCACTTATTAATGAGGTATCAGTTCTTGTACATGACTTGAAAAGAAATCAAGGAATGAAGAGAGTACCAATAATATTTTTTTTGCAACTCTTGACTTGTTGGAAAACATGGAAATCCTAAAGGGAGATTGTTCATTTGGAAGCCTTGGACTTATCTCAACTCCCACTTCTCAATGAGTGATAGACCACTCTTTTATGAATCTTCTACTCAAAAACTTAAAAAAATTGCTTAATTTCGAAGCTCAGTCAATTGCTTTAATAAAGGAAGAAATTAGACCGGTGAAAGACGACTTAGAATTCATAAGATCTATATTCGGCAATGTTGAGCAAGAATTGTATAAAGATATTTGCACACGTGTTTTACAATGTGACATATGAGACAAAGATGTCATTAGTTCAAATTTTGTTAGTGATACTAGTCTCTTGTATTTTATAAACTCACTTCAGTGCTTTAGAAAAGATTTATCAAAGAAGAGGTCTTCAATTTACTTAAGAAATTCCCAGGAATAGGGACTCATCTTTGTGAACTCTTCCAACAAACGTGTTAAGCTCAAATAAAGCATGAGCTTTAATGGAAAAAAGCGCAAAGGGTGAAAAAAAATACACACACACATATATATATACATATTTGTCCAAGCCTAATAATTATAAGCATGAATTGCAAATATATGAACAAAGAAATTGAGAAAAATTAACGAATAAGGGAAATATCAATTGTTTAATGTTGCCTCTTTAAAAGAGGATTATTGGCAAGAAAAAGTATACCTTAGAACCTTGATGACGACACTAAAATGCACATTAGGTAATGTTGCCTCTTTAAAAGAGGATAATTGGCAAGAAAAAGTATACCTTAGAACCTTGATGACGACACTAAAATGCACATTAGGTAATGTTGCCTCTTTAAAAGAGGATAATTGGCAAGAAAAAGTATACCTTAGAACCTTGATGACGACACTAAAATGCACATTAGGTAATGTTGCCTCTTTAAAAGAGGATAATTGGCAAGAAAAAGTATACCTTAGAACCTTGATGACGACACTAAAATGCACATTAAGGTGAAACGCTTAACACATCTTGAGCCTTGCTTCAGGGTTTAGGTGCGCCTTTGACAACACTACAACAAACCAAAAAGCAACTTGTCAAAAAATTGTAGGTTTTATGGAGACAAATTGGATAGTGAGGAAGCTTATCAGTGGATCAACTGATCAACATACCTAGATATTATTTCAATCATCAATATGGTGAGTTTAGTTAAAACTACTCTAATACAAAGTATGTAATGATAAGTCAGTTCTAGTCATTCGACATTTGTGTGCGGTGCACAATCGACTAAGAATATAACACAAAAAAGATGTTGCAAAATTATTTTAATCAATTCACTAAGATTGGATGGAATATTTTAATCCAGTCACTAGATTGAATGGAAATAGAGCAAGGATATTGATATTGATATTGGTGATGAGTTGCAAAAATTGGTATATCCTTTCCAAAGACGAACATGACACCATCAGAAGCCCACAAGGAGTTCATCAAATATGGGTCCCCATAGCTTTCCCAAGAACGTCAATGAGTATTTTTTATACTCTGGTTCGAGCGATCTTGTGGTTTCTCTGGGTGACAAGTATTTTATAAACTGTATTTGCCTTGCTTTCTGTAGATAAATAGAGCCATGCCATGTTACAAACATAAATACCACAAATTTATGGTTCTTTTGGGTTTCCGAAAGAATGTAACATTTCAGGTTGTATTTATCTTTTAAATTTTAATAAAAAGGATCTTTAGGGTCTGCTGAGATGCTGAGAGATCTTCCTTGTGAAAGGCTCATGGAAATTTCTTAAAGAATACTATCTTTATTTATGTTATGTGCTTAGAGGTATGTGTACTTAAATATGTTCACTAGGAATCATTTTGAATTTTTCTTGTTGGCTATTGGAACACCAGCTTTTGAGAAATCATTCCTGATTAATGGTCTTTTTTCTACTGTGAGTTACTTCTTTTGTTCCTCATTTTTTTTAAAAGTTCCTGTGTAGCATACTTCAATATTTCCTTAGAGTTCCAAAAAAATTGCAAAGGTCTACATGTTCTTTAGACATTTTTAGACTGCTCAAAAGCATTACACAACACTACCTTATTTCATTGTTGGGAACTCTTGTTTTATGCATTTGGTCTTTCCAAAGTATTTGCACTACCGAGTAAAAGTCTGTGAAGTGCCCCTTTTTATTTGAGTAACTTAAGATTGGAGTTGGAACAACTTTCCGGGAGGAAAAAAAAAGAAAGGGAAATAAAGGACAGCGGACACTGGACAGAATCATGAAGACAAGCAAAATAAATTATGATTTCATGGATTTTTACTTGACTTTTTTTGGAAGTTGTTGATATCTCATGTTTCTTCCTTTTTTGCTGTAAGTGTGATAGCTGACATAAGTGGTGTTTGAGTCATTGAGTTGTTAGTTACCTGTTTGTTATGATTGCTCCTTTATTTTGCAACTCAAGAAGCTGTACACTCCAAATGGTTACTGAATGATATGAAGGAAAAGGTAAAATATACATCTAAATTCCTTCCATTTTTGTTTGTTTAATTGATCATCTTAACTTTTTGGTGAATTCAAGTTGCTGGTAGAACTTGTTAATAAGCTTTTTGGTGAAGTCATTTCGAGTGTCTTTGTCCATCTGCCTATCGTCGTTCGTCGGTGTTTCAACTTCCCTTTCCCTGTCACTTGTTAAGTACTACGCCATCCTAGCTCTTTGGCAGTGTTTTCTGTGCTAGCGATTATGTCATAATACATATTTAGGACAAGCTAAAGGGATAGAGGAAAAATGCTTGCCAAGTTGATATATTGGGTAACTTTCTGTTATGCTTTTCCTTTTAGTCCAGTAAAAATAATGTGATTATTTAAGAGTTTTTGATGAAATAGTAATTTTGATATGAGAATTTAGGTTTTTTAGGGGTCGTTTGGTAGCTGGTTTGGAGTGAATTATGCAGGTACTAAATGTTGCATAAGTAATAGCACATCTGGTAACCGGTTAGGAAGTAAGTTGCTCATGTATTAAATTAATTGGTTTGCAATTTAGTACTTAATCCATGCATAAAATAATACATCTATTTTTCTCATAACTAATTATGTATTCACTAATTCCTGCATAATTATAACCAGCTACCGAACTACCCCTTATGGTAGTACTAAAACATAGTATATAGCTCATAACCTTCAATGTTGATCCATTTATATCTTCTTCAACCTGCAGGGTATTTGTCAGCTGCCTCCACTTAATGGCTTATGAAATAAGCCCAACAGTATTGGGCATGATGGTGCTTGATAAAAATCAAATTTCTCCTAGCACATTATCTTATCCGATCGATCGATGATTTAATCAATTGTGCAACAGTTTCTAGATGTACTGTATATATATGCTCTTATTATTATGTTATCTGGAATGCCATTAATGGCTAATAGAGAGATTGTTGACTCTTTTCCTCTGTATAGTGTATTTGCTGCTGCTGTGGTTGTGACCTTGGACTTGATTTAATGGCTAATAGAGAGTTTTTTTTCTCTTCAAGTGACTTTTTCCTAATTGGGGGAACTTGTTTCAAATATTTAACTTGTAGTCAGTATTGACAAACGTCAAACGAAAGCATGTTATACATAATTTGGGGAGAAAATTATGAATTCACACCTCTCCATCCAAATATGCCTCTATTAACATGAATAAAAAGAGTATAGTACAAAATTATTTGAGGATGGAATTGGTGAATTAGACCCTAACCAACTATATAAAAAAATAAAAAATCAAATGGATTCTCGACTCAAATAACTCATAATAAAATGATGTTTAAAATAATACTTATAACTGAAGCAAATAAGTAGATTTTTTTTTTTCAAAAGACTTTCGATTCAAATAACTCATAACAAAATAATATTAAAAATAATATACAGACGCAAAATGGACAGAAAGAGGTTGTCGTTTTGGATGACTTAAAAAGAGTTGTGGCTAAGGTAAGGTAAGGCGATTAGATTCTTGATTTTGAGCGTAACATGAAAACTTGAGGCTCACATTAATGCAATTGAACTTTTCCCTGTCTTCTTCTTATTCATCATCATCCATAGCTCCCATTAGCAGAAAAAAACTAAAGAAAATGACACTCCTTCAAGCTCCATCTTCTCCTACTCTCACATTTCATCAGTATTGTACTTCACAACCCAAAGCAGGTAGCCAAAATTTTAGTATATATGAGTTTCGGACCATTTGTTTTAATGGGGTTTTGAAAAAGATTACTTTTTTAATGAATTTTAGTAAATACCCATTTTTCTATTTGGGTCAAGTTGAGTTCTTGCTGAATTTTGTGTTTTGCTTGTTGATTACACAGGGTTATATGTAGCTGAGAAGTCTTTTCTTCAGTCTACTTTGAGTGGTTCTTGTTTTTTGTCCTCTCAAAGACAAGTGAAAGCTTTGAACTTTTCGTATACATGTTCAAGATTGAGCTCATTTACAGCTAAAGCTGCTTCAAATGGAGGTAATTTTGTAGCAGTTTCTATTTGTTTAATTTGTCAAATACTTTTTAAGTATTAGTACTAATTAAAAGTATGCTCTCGCTTGAGCTTTTTGATGACACGGGTGTGAGAACATTTTTGGAGAGTCTGAGCAACTTAGTAGACGTGGGTCTGGAAGTTCTAATTTCACCACCATCCAATGAGCAAAAATATTTTCATGTGTTTGGTTCATGAAAAAAAATCAAGCTCATGTGTTGAGACATAATACGATTAAGTAATTAGAAATGTGTTTCTAGACAACTTAAGCTTTTAGATGAAACTGTCACATCCATTAGCACTATAATTGTATAATGTTGTCCTTTTTGTACTTAATCTTGCTGTCGATAAATGCTTGTATTCTGCTACTCTGTTTTGTTAAGTTTGCTTTGGATTTCTATTTGAATTGAATGTGTTCGCGTGTTTGCTTCATCAGATACCAATTTGTTTTTATTTTCTATTCATCAAATGTTGAACTTTATTTTTCAGAAAATTCCCGACAATTTTTCAGCCATGGCTGACTTGAAATTTGCCTCAACTTTCCTGAAACGGTCTGACAATGAGGCTTAAAATCTCTGCTTCCCCTTAACATATGTAGAAATGTTCAGTTCTATAACTAATTTTGAAGTGGATATATTCGTGGATCATTAGATTTTCACAATTTTTGAAGGACTCAATCTTATTTAAGAAAATGCATTGGGAACTTCTTAAGGTAAGATAAAGGTCCAGACATGATTAGATAGGAGCATTCAGTCGGCAGTCTTTTTGGCTTGACCAAGAAGTTTTATGTCCTCTGGATGAGGATGTGTCCTGGCGCTGCCCGAAAATAGTCTAAGATTATGACCACAAACCTTAGATTGTCGAATCATGAATGGACAGGAAGACATGTCTTTCTCCTTTTCAAAGAGTTTAAAAATATTGATATGGAGGGGTTGCATCCATTTATTCTGCTTCTCTCAAAAGCTACATACAAAGAGACATCTTGTAGTATCCTCCTAATTTGCATCTTAAGAACCTAGTCATGCACACAGTTTTGTTTGAAGCATTCTTATGCTTGAGTAGAAACTTTTTTAAACTGGATTTCTCATTATGCTCGAGTAATTCCTTTAAATTTCTTCCCGTGCACATGTTGTCATACATCGTTCAGTTTACATTGCTGCTCTTTGAGATATTGTCTAAATATACCTAAGCAGATTCTGTGACTTGCAGCTTGTGCTTCTTCAGTGTCAGGTCAAACAGCCGAGTCTGAAGTACTTAAAGCCCTATCCCAGATAATTGATCCTGATTTCGGGACTGACATAGTCTCTTGCGGATTTGTGAAGGACCTACTGGTTGATGAAAATTTGGGAGAGGTCTTAAAAACAGTACATTCTGACCTTCACATTATATTTGAGATATATTCTCCTAATCCAATCTATTGGAATTTTCAGGTTTCATTTCAGTTAGAGCTTACAACACCAGCATGTCCAATCAAGGACATGGTAAATGAAACACAACTACCACTATTTGATCAAGAATTGATGTGTATATGAAGTGGTACATCATTTAGTTTTCGTAGTTTCCTTTTCACTGCATGTTGTTGGCTTTTAATACCCTTTGTCCCAATTTATGTGACACTATCCTTTTTAGTACCTCCCAAAAAAAAAAAGAATGTCAGTTTTCTATCATTGGAAATGATTTAACTTTGAAATTCCTTTTTTATCCTTAATGAAATGATGTATAGCCACAAAAATGGTCAAGGAGTGTTTTAGACCACATATTTCAAAAGTCTTTCTTTTTTTCTGTAACTTTGTGCGAAATCAAACAGTGCCACATAAATTGGAACGGAGGGAGTATATATTAGGGAACATGAGATTAGGACGCATCCTTGTTATTTCTTTTAAATTCATCCTCTTTGGTATCACGTGAGGGTGGTCTTGTGGATCATCTAAGTATGATAGGACTACAAATCTGACTTTCAAATTTTGGATAGTTTGAGCAGAAGGCTAACGAGGTGGTTGCTGAACTTCCTTGGGTTAAAAAGGTCAATGTGACAATGTCAGCTCAACCAGCAAAACCTATCTATGCTGGACAGCTTCCTGCCGGGCTACAAACAATCTCCAACATCATTGCTGTTTCTAGTTGCAAGGTGAAGAATTCCACAATCTTCAGTTCCTATGCTTTTTAACTCATTAAACATTTCTTGTAGTATGTACTTGTTAGAGTGGGTTAGAGTCCCACACTGATCGAGGAATGAACTGGTGGTATGTTTATATGGACTTGCGCAATCCTCCCCTCATGAGCTAGCTTTTGGGATTGAGTGTCATATCTATACTTGATATCCAAGCCAGGTCCATCCTTGTTTGGACTCCCGGTCCACGCTCCAGTTGGGACTAGAAGTTAAGGGGGTGTTAGAGTGGGTTACAGTCCAACATTGGTTGGGGGTGGTTTGCTTATATGGACTTGGGCAATCATCTCCTCACGTGTTAGCTTTTGGGATTGAGTTAGACCCATGTGCCATATTTTTACAGTCCTGAAGGTCTATCTATGTCCTCAAGAGCAAATTAAAAAATAAAAGAAATAGGTTAGAAAAGGACAAAAAGCTTTCCTCTAAAAGCAATATTTGAAGATTTGTTATACCGCAATATTTAAATATGTTAGCTGGTGATTTATTGCTCATTCATGTCGATGTTATTGCTTCCCGTAATTCTTGTTTTCAAACATTCAAGGACTTGTTGCATTGACCTTACTTGTGTGGAAATTTTTCTGCTTTGACCAGCTTAGCATCTGAAATCTCTTGTGTCTTCTTCTTAATTAATATTAACCTTTATAAACCACAGGGAGGGGTTGGTAAATCAACTGTTGCTGTCAACCTAGCTTACACTTTGGCTGATATGGGAGCTAGAGTTGGTATATTTGATGCAGATGTATATGGTCCTAGTTTGCCAACTATGGTGTCCCCAGAAAACCGGATACTTGAAA